TTTTTTTTTTTTTTTAATTTTTTTTTTAACGTTTATTTATTTTTGAGACAGAGAGAGACAGAGCATGAACAGGGGAGGGGCAGAGAGAGAGGGAGACACAGAATCTGAAACAGGCTCCAGGCTCCGAGCTGTCAGCACAGAGCCCGACGCGGGGCTTGAACTCATGGACCGTGAGATCATGACCTGAGCCGAAGTCCGACGCTTAACCGACCAAGCCACCCAGGCACCCCTCCCTGCCAGATCTTTAGTGCACATGGTTCCCGGCTACTACACAGAAAGGGGAGTGCCTCTGAACAGAAACCCCATTCTCTTCCAATTTGACCTGAATTTCCTTGTAGCCCTCACAACACACACCGCCCAGGCGGCCCTGGCCTCACCCTGGATCCTCAGGCTCTCCTGATACTGGATGATGAAGTACTCTTGAGTCTGCTGCAGCTTCTTCAGCTCATTCTCTGTGTCCTGTGTGACCAGTCGCAGCTCCTCAAACGTCTGGTTGATCTGGAGGTGTTTCTGGGACATGGTGTCAGCAAGACTTCCAACTGGAGAAGTACCCTGAGGACATATTAGGGAGGAGAGTGTGGGTGGAAGTGAGCTGGCGTGAGGTGGTAGAAAACCTCAGGCCTTAGCCCTGGGGTAGCCAGTCGGTTAAGGATCTACTCAGCTCAGGTCATGACTTGTCATCCATGAGTTCGCCTGCATCGGCTCTGTGCTGACAGCTCAGAGCCTGGAGCCTGCCTCAGGCCTCAGGTCTCCTCTCCCTGCCCTCCCACTAACACTCTGTTTTCTCAAAAAATGAATAAATGCAAAAAAAAAAAAAAAGAGAGAGAGAAAGAAAACCTCGAGCCTTAATCTGAAGAAAAAGCCAATGCTAGCACTTATAACCTCCAGCTTAAAAACCCCTAAAGCAAAATTGTGAGTCAGAAATTGTAAACATCATTTGTCGAGAACTGGTGTGAGGGGAGATACTCCTCAAACGTCTGGTTGATCTGGAGGTGTTTCTGGGACATGGTGTCAGCAAGACTTCCAACTGGAGAAGTACCCTGAGGACATATTAGGGGAGGAGAGTGTGGGCGGAAGTGAGCTGGGCAGTGAGGATGGTAGAAAACCTCAGGCCTTGGGGCCCCTGGGTAGCTCAGTCGGTTAAGGATCTGACTTCAGCTCAGGTCATGATCTTGTCATCCATGAGTTCGGGCCCTGCATCGGGCTCTGTGCTGACAGCTCAGAGCCTGGAGCCTGCTTCAGGTTCTGTGTCTCCCTCTCTCCCTGCCCCTCCCCCACTCACACTCTGTTTCTCAAAAATGAATAAATGTTAAAAAAAAAAAAAAAGAGAGAGAGAGAAAGAAAACCTCAGGCCTTAATCTGAAGAAAAAGCCAATGCTAGCACTTATAACCTAGCGAAAACCCCTAAAGCAAAATTGTGAGTCAGAGGAATTGCAAACATCATTTGTGAGAACTGGTGTGGAGGGGAGATAAAAGGAGGGGGAAATAGGTGACCTGACCAACTGTGGCACCTTCATATGCCATAACAGAAAGTTCTTTCACAGTCTGGCCTCCATCAGAGTTGCCCAAACAGGGTCCATCTAATTCCCTTCAGAGAGACTAGAAGTGAACACATCCAGGATATACCTGGGTTTTTCTACTAATGATGATGACGCCTCATTCCATATTCACGCACTGATCCAGGGCTATGGACCATGTGAGGTGCTGGGGACACAGTGGGGAAGAAGGCTGTGTGAACGTACATCATCTGTGTCTTCACTCAAGACCTTATTCTAACTGAGGGAAGAGGCTGAATCTCTCACACATGGTATCATGGAGACCCCAAAGTTCTAGGGCAGGCACAGCAAGGATTTTATGGATCCAGCCATTTAAGTGACCTGGTCTGAGCCATTCCCTCTATGCTTGACTAAGAGAGGGCTCAGCAGAAATCCCTCTTAAGTAATCTCACCTGAACATGAGCATGCCTTTACTCAAAAACTGTTCAGTTGGGGTTAAATTATTTTGCACTTGTTCACATTGTTTTGTGGTGGTAATCTCACCAAGGTCATGAATCAATTAAGATCAGAGACTAGTGTTCTATTTCTTTTGTGCTCCTTAGGACAATGCTCTGTTTATAGAAACATCAACAGATGCACACTGAGTTGTCTTGAGAGATCTGGGTCCAGAGAGAGGGGGGCAAGGAAGGACTTCCCAGCTCTTCTCCCCACATCCATGGGACACTCACATTGTTGGCTTCGCGGACCAGCCTCTGCTCGTTGTACAGAATATGCCGGATGCAGCGGACCAGCTCCATGGGGCAGCGGTCATACGTGTTCTGAAAGAACCCAATAGCAGACATCACTTTGTTCCACTCTGTGCTATGGGGCCTAACCCTACCTCAGAGCAGGGGTAAGATTTTATGATGAGGGGACTCCTGGAGACATGATGACATAATCATGAGCAATATGGCTCCTCCAATACTAATGGGGGACAAGAAAAGCACATCATAGGAAACCCAATTACAGTGAGAAGGTAAGGTTATTTTATTTCTTGCCTCCTAATTTGCCTAAAGTACTAGGGTGTCATTCTTGGAAACAGGATACATAAATTTCAAAAAGGCCACGTAAGAGGAGAAATGACACCACCTCGACCGAGCAGTCAAAATTACTACCCCCGGTGCAAGGAAGATGGACGGTGTATGTCTTCAGATGTGATACCCTGGGAAGGACACAACATCACTTACTCAGGATTCTCATCAGGGATGTGTAACCTGAATCTAATCAGAAGGAGACATGACACAGACCCAAAAAGATGTTCATTGTATCTTTAAAAAAACAGATGAGTTGAATTATTTTAAAATGTCAATGTAAGAAAAGGCAAAGAAGGTTGAGAACAGTTCCAGATTAAAGTAGATTAAAGAAACATGACAACCAGATGCAATATATGGTCCTGGGCTGGTGGGAAAAAAATGTCCTAGAGGACTTTATTGTGACTCAACTGACTGTTGACAAAATGGAAACACAGATACAAGATTACTGAAAAGTGTTCTATCAATGTTAAATGCACTAAAGATGATAACTGCACTATAACTATGTATAGAAAACGCACACTAAAGTACTCAGGGGCAAAGGGACACGACGTATGCAACTTACTCTCGAGTGACAAAAAAAATGTGTGTGTACGTGTGTGTAGAGACAGAATATGACAAAGCAAATGTTAACAACGGGTGGATCTGGGCATATGTACGGGTTCTTCGTATCAATCCTGCAACTTCCTATAAATTTGAAATTGTTTTCAAATAAAAAGTTTAAAAACAAAAGGCTACAACCACAAGGCCAAACAGTAAGAACTTTATACGGCGAACATGTAAGTCCACAACACTGGGTTCCAGAGGAGAAAGAAAATCTCTACGGGAAGCACTGAATGAAGGAGAGGATTAAGTGTGACCCAGCCTTCACACCCACCTGGAGCTGCGTGGCATAGTGCCCCAGCTTGATCTTCAGTAAGAACCCATCTTCCCCCACTTGGTGCTCCGCCTTCTTCTGCAGCTCCTGCACCAGGCCCTCCAGGAGCTGGGTGGCCTTAATGTTCTCCTGTGGATTATCAAGATCTATTGAGTCCCTAGGGGAAAAAAATTACATACATATGTATACATACATGCACATGAGCCTGTATAAATGCAGCCTCAACGCATCACGCCTTTTCTTTAGCTAAAGTGATTTCTTCATAATGCTCACTGCAAATTTTAGGAAGCAGTTCAATTCAAATCGACTAGATGCCTAATCGACTATGTTAATCTATCCCTAATCCACTAATTAGCTTAGTGGACTAGATATTTTCTTTTCTTCTCTTCTTCTTTTTTTCTAAACAATGTACTGCCCTTTCTCCTTCCTCCTACTGACTTCTCTGGTGCTTATGCTATCTGCTTCTAGAAATGAAGGGAAAAGGAAAGTGCTTCGTGTACTCTGAAGGAAATAAGGGCTCTGATAACTTCCTATTTATAGTTACCCCTTAAGGGTGTAAGGGGGCACAAGGTCAAGAATGTTCTACATGCTTTTTCCAGCCTTGACTAGTTCTATGTGCTAATTCCACATATAGTATTTCTTAAGTAAAGGCAGGTGAAACAACACTACTATTTCTAAGGAGCCCTGGAAATGAGATATTAGGACAGAAAGTGCCTGCAACTATGTACACAAATCAGACATTTCTATCTATCACCAGTTGCAGATCTGGGACCTGCAGGCAGTGCTAACTCTTCTAGTGAGGCAGAGAAACCACTCCATGGACTTTGTATTGAGGCACTGAACTGGTGACAGGGGTTGGATGGCTTCTCTCCCTTCCTGCCTTCCCTCTTTTCCCCACTCCCTTCTCCAACTCTTTATTTTTTAAAACAATTTAGGCAACAATTGCTACTGGGCAGTACGAAATCGCTTAACTCAGCTCACTGAAGAAACCGAACAGCTGTCAGATTGAAATAACATTCAATTACTGCTGACCGGGTCTGGAGCCAAGCAAGAGATCTAGAGGTAGCTAAAAGGCTCCGTCACCTCGAAATCCCTGAAGTCAGTTAGCAAGTAATTTCAAACAAAGGCACAAACAGGTGTGCCACAACACTGATAATGTAGTTCATCACATAATACGCCCAAATCTGCACTCTAAGCAAAGACAGTAGAGAAAACCAAATTTTAAATACGTGTGCTCTCTGAACTAAATAAAATATGTACTAAATAAAAGCTGGGAGGAATGGAGGGCAGCTGCACCTCTGTTTTGGTTGGCAATAATGCTCCTTGTCTGAGGAACCCACTCTTGAGAAGATCCTGTCTCTGAGCAAAACTCATGGAAATCAAGTACTGGTTCTGGTACTTAAAAACTTAATTCTCGGGGCGCCTGGGTGGCTCTGTCGTTTGGGCGTCCGACTTTGGCTCAGGTCATGATCTCACAGTTTGTGAGTTCGAGCCCCACGTCAGGCTCTGTGCTGACAGCTCGGAGCCTGGAGCCTGCTTCAGATTCCGTGTCCCCTTCTCTCTCTGCCCCTCCCCAACTTGTGCTCTGTTATGTCTCTCAAAAAATAAAAAAAAAATAAAAAAAAAAAAAAACCCAATTCTCTGCTTAAAAGAAAAAAGAAAAGAAAGGAAAAAAAAAAGCCTTTCTTAGCTTAAACATGAAGAACTGAACATTTTTTTATTGAAATCTTTATGTTCTTAAGAAAACCAAAATAAATAAAATTCAGGCTTTCCTTCATAGCAACACAAGTCTTTTAACATTCATTCGGTGAGAAACTACATGGGAGATCTACTAAATGAAATTTTAAATCACCAGAAACTTTCTACTAACAGTTTTCTGAACTCTCCAAATCATTAAAACAGAAACGAAAATGAAAAGGAAATGGAAAAGCACTAAGCAAGGTGCAGCCGACATGCTTATATTTAGCTCTTTTTTTTTCTTATCACTTCATTACACGAGGCTGAGATTTTTTAAATTGCCCAGAAAATTGCCTTCCTTTGGTGCTCTCTAGTTTTCAAACAGAAATCTATTACTAACACATAACCTCAATTATTCCAAGGCAGCATTACTGACAGGTACCCAGCTCTCCCCAGACAGTCGCATAGTGGCCGGCTTCTCCGGGGCTCTGCCAGAGAGGACCCCACCCCGCCATGATGGTGGGGGGCCTGAAGTAGCTGATGAGCACGTCAGATCAGACAGACAGGCTGGTGGCCTCCCAACATGCTCCCAGACCCTGAGCAGAGCAGCAACAGCCTGCAATAATGTTGTCAATCTACTACATTATACTAATTCTGAAAGAATTTAAAAACAATTTTATCTCTGCGCATATAAGCAGGAATTCGGAAAATAAAAATAAACACGCTTGTTAAATCTGCCACCAAGACATGACTATTGTTAATATTTTGGTGTACTGGCTTTTAGCCTTTATGGGTATGCATAAACTTTAAAACATAGGGGCACGTGGGTGGCTCAGTCGGTTAATTGTCCGACTTTGGCTTGGATCATGATCTCCCAGTCGGTGGGTTCGAGCCCTGCGTCGGGCTCTGTGCTGACAGCTGAGAGCCTGGAGCCTGCTTCGGATTCTGTGTCTCACACTCTCTCTGCCCCTCCCCCGCTCACACTCTGTCTGTTTCAAAAGTAAATAAACATTTAAAAAAATTTTTAAAAACACCAACATCTCCATTGTTAATTTGTTATCAATACATTTTATTAAGTGATATGCATATGCATACCTTAGCTGCCCCATTAAGCACTAAATTCTTTGTGGACATGGGCTTTTCATTTTTTTTTTTAAGTTTATTTATTTATTTGTTTTAAGAGAGAGAGAGAGAGAGAGAGAGAAAGAGTGTGTGCACGAGTGCACGCCAGCAATGACAGGAGAGAGAGAGAGAGGGAGAGAGAGGATCCCAAGCAGGCTCCTCACTGTGGGAGGACAGTGGACAAGGGCTTTATCTGAACACAGGGCTCAACCCCATGAACCGCAAGGCCATGACCCTGAGCCAAAACCAAGAACCGGACGTCCAACTGAGCCGCCCAGGCATCCCTGTGGACAAGGGCTTTATCTGTTCCTATCTTACACCCTATAGGCACTCAAAACATATTTGTTAACTGTTGTTTATTAGCAGCAATACTCTAATGCTTTTAGCCAGAGTTTACTAAAGGGGGGAAATCCTATTTTAAAAATCCTAAGAGTTATTCCACCTGCTTAAAATCTAAGCTAGGGTTAAATACCTTCTTATGGGTCATGTTGTTGTTTTTTTTTTTTTTTTTT